TATGTATTACATGCTTCCGTTTAAATCAAGGTTAGACGAACATGAGAGGACTTTCACAAGCGATGGGTGGCTATCTTGATTTGGGGGACGGTTGTACAGGTATATAGTTGTCAAACCTTGAACTATATACTTAATATCTTCACACTTTAAGTTGGGTTACATTTTACATTCATTAAATTAATAAAAGCGCCCTGAAATCAGTGTTCTAGGGCACAGATGGGGAGTGAGCAAGGTCAACAAATTTCTTCCCTGCACCATCTCTCACCACATTTAATATGTTAATATACACTGTAGATCTCTAAGAGGAGGCTATAGGATGATGCATTATGTTCCAGGCTTACTCGCTCAAGGAATTTCCTTCACACATATACTAGCATCTGTAAGGTGCTAATGTTTCAGAAGCCACTAACTTTTAACTGGAAAAAAAAAAATTAAGGGCTACAAATATCGCCACAGACATTAAAAAAAAAAATCAACACCTGATTTAAGCAATTTTCTTAAACTGTTTGCAAAACATATCCCTAAAGAAAGTCCAATTGGGTACTCAAGAAACTGTGCCCCAAATAACTTTCATTTTGGGGTTGTTGACCTTAAATTCCTTACAGAAGTAGTTAGATAGTAAAACCAGTTGTCTATTGAACTTCTAGTTTATGAGAAGAATGTATTCATCAACATACAATAATTTTGTTTTCTGTGAGACAATCAACTCATCCAGAGTGGCAGTGAAGCATTAAAACACAGGTTTAAAAATATAGGCCTTAGGTTCCCCAGGAAGCCACCTCTGAGATAGACTTGTGTGTGGGAGATTGATTGCTGAGAACTCCAGATCAATACCTGCAGGGGAGAGAGGAAGGCAGGACTAGGGAGGGGGAGAAGATTAACTGTGATGCAGTCTCAACAAAGGCCTGGGCAGATCCCATGGAATCTCTGGTACCAGGAGGTCCTTCACCAATTGTCCAGCCTGGAGGCAAGGAAGCCAGACTTTCGTATCCTCACAACAGACCACTTCTATTCAGGCTGCTCTAGAGGAGATGCTTGACTATGGGGAAGGTGGCCTCTTCCGCTGAGGGTAATTTTTCACAGTGAGAATCAGCTGAGAGCCATCAGTTGTCAACACTTCCAGATACAGGGAAAATGAGGGTCTGTCCCGAAGGAGGAGCTGAGCTACACACCAGTGTTCACCACAGCAGGAAATGCACATCCCTCTTCGAAACTCGAGTGTGTCTGACCTCCAAGAAACCATTCCTACCCAATCTAACTCCCATGCTGTTAATAGACAAGCTCTGTTTAACTATTAGTAGCCAGAGGTCTGATTTTTGAACATATTACTTTGTCCTACAAATAATCTCCAACGGCTACTAACAAAATTATTTCACAATATAAACCATACAGCAAGGAATTCATTGAGTAGCTTTGCCATGATTGGAAACCTGGCTGTCCATGAAGACCTCAAGCCTGAGAACATCAGATTTCTCCCAGAAAAACACAGCAAGCCGTAAAAATTTATCAAAAAGCCTTAATTTTCTAACAAAATTTTTACCCACATTTCCCTTTGCCCTCTTTAATAAAATTTGGTATCCCATTACACAAAGTAATAAAAAAGGAAGTAGAGTTCTTTGTTTCTCCCTATGCTTTTTAATATAGGCTGTCAACTCATTTATTCTTTCAAAATGAATTTACCGAGGACCTGCCATTAGGAGATACCATGCTTGGTCTTGTAGGTAAAGAGAGGACAAAGAAGTCCACCGTCTAATACAGACAGACATGTAAGTTATCAGTCACACATCTCATTCAACAAACAGAACTAAGCACTATGTGTATTACCATTAACAAGACAAATGTTGTCTTTGCCTACATGCAAGGTGAGACCTGACAGAATAGAAAGCTTCTGAAGGTACCATGGTCTTTGCCTACACTGGGGAAGGAGAGCCATGGAAAGTGGGTATCTATAAACCAAGGATTAGCCTTTACGGAGCACTCACATTTACATATGCCTGGTACATTTCAACTCTCAATCAATCCTCTCATGTAGGTATTACTTTTGTTTACAGATAAGGAAATTAAGGCACACAGATGAAGCAGTTTAGTCAAGGTCACGCAGGTGGTGAGAGGCAGGAGTGGGATTCACAGGACTTACCTTCAGAATTGAGCCTTGACAACTGAGTAGAAATTTGCCAGATGGATACTAAGAGGGGGTGGTGAGAGCATTCCAGACACAGGGAACTACAAGTACAAATGCTTTAAAATTATCAACCTGCAAGTTCGTCTGCATGTAGGCTGCTTAGAGAAGAAAACAGGAGTCTAGGCTGGGAAGTGAGAGCAGATACACAAAGTGAGGGACAAAGATAGGAGTTGTGTCCCATTCAAGAGAGGGGCTAAAGGAATGGAAGCACAAATTGATTACAGTGATGTCAATTTTAATAACAGGATTTTTTTTAAAGATTTTATTTATTTGACAGAGAGAGAGACAGCGAGAGAGGGAACACAAGCAGGGGGGAGTGGGAGAGGGAAAGCATGCTTCCCGCCGAGGAGGGAGCCTGATGTGGGACTCGATCTCAGGACCCTGGGATCATGACCTGAGCCGAAGGCAGATGCTTAACGACCGAGCCACCCAGGCGCCCAACATCAAACAGGATTAATAAAAATGGCTAACATAAAGAGCATCTTATAAACATGTGGGTTTAAGTATTTATATGCATGACCCCATTTTAGTCTCACTACCACCTTGAGGGAGGTACTACTATTATTCCATTTACAAAAGAGAATACAGTGTCTTAAGGAAGACAGCTCAATTGTCCAGGGTTCTACTGCTGGACTTACAGAGCTGGGATTCAAAACTAAGGAGCTGTAATCCAGAGCCTGGGCTTTCAGCTGCCTGCTCAAGATGCACAGCAATCATACTCTCCCCCTACAAGAGATGGCACAAAGGGCAAATTCCCATGAGGGAGATGCTCTAGCCAGAAGACAGGTAAAATGTGGGCTGGAGGATAGGAAATGTGTGTACACGCAAGTGGCACTGGAGACTAAAATCTGGCAGCAACAACGAAGGCAGAGTCTCGGCTAACAGCCAGTTGTCTGAAGAGATGCTGATTCCATTGACGGAGAGAATGGGTGGAGATAAGCACCAAGAAGCAGGCAGGGGGATGGGAGAAAGATGCAGAGGTCAAGGTCTTCTAGAGCACAGATGAAGGTCTCAGTAGGCAACTGAATTTTTAGGTCAAGAGCTGAGAAAAATCACCTGCTAAGAAGGTACCGATTTGTCCAAAGACATGTTGAAAGCACTCAAGTAACAGAACTTGTCTAGAGAGAATGTGACGATAAAGGAAACCCCCCACTCTTGAGGGAAGAATCCTTTTTTCATCTAAAAATAAGGAGATTTAGTGTGTATACATATCTACAATTTACGTATCTGCCACATAGCTGCGGTCTTTAGAAACCTGAGAAGGGTTGTTTTGTTTTTAAACAAAGAAGGCAGGAGGTCTTTAAAATGCTCTCTGAAAAACTTCTCTTCCACTTATGAGGTTTTGAATTACTTCTAGGTAAGTTTATTTCTGGGGAAAATAAGTTAGTTGAACGGTGCGAGCTTTTTATAAGTAAAACTACTACTAATAGTTCGAGTACCACCCAGGAGGTGCTTGGCTACTCTGAGCCCAAGTCGCTGGCGTCAGTAACTGCACTTCAGGCATAAGCACTGTGGGCTCTGGGTGGAAGTTCTGCATGCTTACAGCGCTCCCGGGATATGCCATTTCCTAGCCTTATTTACGTGCTCTCTTCACCCTAAGAACCTCACAGCACAGCTTACCTGCCTTAGCCATCTGCATAAAAGGTGATTTCTAACGTAAGAAAACTTCCCAATGTTAACGTGGTGGCGGGGGGGAAAGAGAGAAACAAGGGGGAAAAAAATCCAGCCTGTTTGGTCCGCCCTCCCTGGCTGTTACTACCTTGCAGTTTATGACAGATAGAGGGAGGTCTGGGGAAGTGAAGGAGGCAGCCCGAGAGCCGGTCCATTCCCGTGGAAACCCTGAGTCCTTTAGCACAGGCAGCTAGCTGCTCTCCCTACTTTCCTGAGGGATTTCTTTTCCGTGACTTGGAGAGGGGCTCATGAATGATTTCTAAACGTGTGCCTCGCTCAGGCAAGCCGCACAGGGAGGGAGTAACCCAGCCGAGTGGGGGCAGAGCCAGCAAACACCGCGCAGGGCTGGAAGTGGCTCTACTCTTGCATGCAGTTTTTGAAGTCAGCAAAACAGAAATCAAATTACTCTATTATGCCTGTGGACGCTGGAGAAGAAGGGGCTCTACCCTGGCTTAATTACCATGGGAGATGCAGCAAGTCACAGAACAGCAAAGTATGTCTAATGTGTGGACCCTGAAGACAAATGTAAGTTCTCATGCTGCTGTATTTCATTTCTGTGTTTTCTTTCTGGCTTGAAATCACGCTTGGCCAAAGCATTATCATTCTCAATGAGAATTTCTAGTGTGGAAAGTTGTCGGCTAATCTTTGCTTAAGACTTTTCTTCTTCTTTTGTTAACTAAGCATAATGCAAATGGAAATTCCCGACAGCAACTATGGCAATTCAGCCTAGAGACTGAGAACTATAACCCCAAGTACACCCAATTACTATGGGATTAACACTGGATGTATTTTTAATTGACTTTCTTCACGTAGAATGCATACCACCCCACTGTTCTTGGATTGCATGCTGTTTTAATACCGCTGTAGCTAAACTAGTGTGATCAACATAACCAACAGAATGAGATAGAGCTCAATGAGATTCCTGGTAACTACAAAACTTTTCTTTTCTGGCCAGGATCACATTTTTCTCCCTGAATGCTCAAAACTCTGCAACTGCTATGTTGCAAAGTCCATTCTGCTTTTTTTGACCTTGCTTTGAAGAAAAAAATGAAACTAAGCAAGACTCCACTAACACCATGAAGGAGATAAAAAGAGCCACTGCAGTTCAGCTCCCATTGTAATAATGAGAGAAAAAAGGCGACCAAAGGAGCTCAGCATGTATACCGGCTTCAGTGTGACCAAGCATGGGGACAGAAGGATGGATGGCGAGCTGAGGCTATAACTTGTTAGTTTTTCTTTACTTCATCTGCTACAAATTCCGGCTTAGAAATGGATATTCTTTTTGAGGAAAATGCTTCTTTGAGCTCAACTACAAACTCCTTAATGCAATTAAATGAGGACCCAAGGCTCTACATCAATGACTTTAACTCCAGAGAAGCTAACACGTCAGATGCATTTAACTGGACAGTGGACTCGGAAAATCGAACCAACCTTTCCTGTGAGGGCTGTCTCTCACCACCATGCTTCTCCTTACTTCATCTCCAGGAAAAAAACTGGTCTGCTTTGTTGACAGCTGTAGTGATTATTCTAACCATTGCTGGAAACATACTCGTCATCATGGCAGTGTCCCTAGAGAAAAAGCTGCAGAACGCCACCAACTATTTCCTGATGTCACTTGCCATAGCTGATATGCTGCTGGGTTTCCTTGTCATGCCCGTGTCCATGCTAACCATCCTGTATGGTGAGTGGCATTAGCCTCCCAGCTGCACCCCTATGTAATAGACAGCATGTGCATGTTATGAGCAGATGAGCTGGGGCTCAAGGGACAAACTAAACACAAGGGTTTATTTATAGACAAGGGTCTACCATGGTACACTAGTTAAATCTTAAAGTGAGCTTTCACATATTAAGAGATCAGACAACCTATTATCCTTGGAGAGTTTTGTGTTTTGAAAACACGTACATTTTATGTAGTCACTTTAAATGCCCCCAGTACAGTCATAAAGCAGTAATTTAGCTGTCATTCTGAATCCACTTGATTTTTGTTTCTATTCCCAAATATTCCAGCCTTCAGGACAGAACACAGTTTCATCTTTGTCACACAGTTTTCAGCACCTCTAACAGAGTGGTAAAACCTTCCCAATTACCTTGGAACATGTGCAGGGAAAACATGAGCGGTACAGTGGGTTTAATGTTAAAATATGCAGATTCTGCCTTCGAATAAATGAATTACTGCAGTTTCAATTGTTCCCTACCCCAGAGAAGCTAATTTGGAAGTGTGGCTTTGAATTATACCCTCAACTCTTAAAAAATACATATACATCAACTCCTCCAGTCTTATTTGGAGAAGAGTAGAAAACAAATGGGAAGACATTAATCTCGCCTTCTTCAACAGTTTGAAAGAGTCAAACCCCTTAGCAAGTCAGCAAACACTGGGAGGGCTTCAGCGGGAAGCAGAATGCGATGCTCTTTTCAAATTATGAGTAAGACAGCTGGATTTCTTTTAAAAAGAATATTTAGACTGCTGACACAGGCACGTAGCAATCACCCAGAGCTTGAAATACATCATGATCTTTGTAAAAAGGGATTTTCTGGCCAAGCCTTAAGAGCTAAAATTATATACATACATATATTACCCCAGCGCTGAGGGGTATGGAGGAGGAAGGAGATGGGCAATGAAGAAGAGGTGCCGGTTTGCACGGGGTCGATACTGTTCCTTGCAAGGCCAGCCTCCGTTTGACCACTCAAATGTCACACCAGGATGATTTCATCAAATTTGCTCGTCATTTCCCAGACAGGCTGCAGAGGTTCTCGCTGCCTAAGACCCGACCGCCGCCTCAAAGGCAAACTCCGGGAGTGGTGCATGGCTCCCAGAGGTCCCATCAGGGAACCAAAACCACTGCCAGAGGCGGGGGTGACCCCAGTTGCAGGTGGGGAGCAGGCACCCTTGAGCTGGGTTAAGAAGGTAGGACCTGGCCGCTGCCTCCCGCTCGGGGTGCAACGGCGCCCCCTGGCGGCGGCTGCTCCGCACGCAGCCAGTTGCAGCCAGAGCTGCAACTCTCCCTGGACTGGTCCTCGCTCACCCCGCAGGGTAAGGAAATGCCCCCTCCCTATCCCTGCTTCGCAAACCAGACTGTGGCCGACCTCGGCTGCCTCTTTGCAGAGAAAACTCCAAGGGCCAACATCAGTTTCGACCAGGCAGAGCGTGACTTCCCTCCAGGCACTGCAAAGGAAGAGGCTCTTGTTTTAGCTCGTGTTTGAGAAAAAAAAAAAAGTGAAAGGCATTAAGTTAGGCTTGTATCCTGCACCCTTTACTTTCCTCAATATAGGTGGTGGCATTTTGGTAGAGTATACTTGCAAATGTGGAATTTGTTCAGCTGTGTCAGTCTGGACTATTGTAAAGAGAAGGAGATCTTTATGATTGCCTTTTCCCTTGTACTCAGACATAATATCGCTTATACAGTTACCAAAGCTAATTTGGGTTTATATAACCATTTGATCCCCTTTAAAACAAAAACAGGAACTTAGAATATGCATTAAGGGCCTCCTGCATTGCTCTTCATTTTGGGATCATCAGGAGAGCTCTGGAACACTTTGTTCGGGGCCCACCTCCTCCTACCCTCCTGAACACCAAGACCTAGAGAAAAAGCTCTCCGGCTGAGTCTCAAATGCAGCCAGGGCTGACAACCACTGCTGTAAGCAGCTGTTGCCAAAGTGTTATCCCTGGACCAGCAGCACCACCTGGAAACTTGTTAGAAATGGCAATTCTTCTGCCCCGTTGCAGAGTCACAAAATCAGCACTTCCAGGTGGGGTCCAGCAGTACCATTTTAAGACCCTACCTAGGAGACTCTGAGGCTTGCTAAAGTTTGCGAACCACTGCCCTGAAACACTCATTAGGAAAGAATGCCATGCTTTTCTGCATATTTCCCCCCAAAACACACACACCCCAAATTTGAGTTGAACCCCTAAAGCAATTTTCATTTTCCCAAAAAATATTCTCCATCTGGACTTGTTAATCATTTACTCATTCACACCAATAGCATTTATTGAGAGACCACTAAATGACATCACTGTGTAAGACTGAGCAGTTATAGTGATTAAGAGGTGGCCCGAACCTCAGGGAACCCAAAGGATGTCAAAGATGTGAATAAAGGCAGTGTCCTGTAAGAGGAGCTTTAATAGAGGAGCTCCAACGACATCGAGGCTTCTAACTCATTAAAAAGAAAAAAGGTAGTTGTTAGGGGACACACAGCAAGAGAAACCCTGAAGACAACCCAGGTTTACTACAACACACTGGCATATAATTCCAGCCACAAGAAATTTCCAAACCCTGTGCTCATCAGCTAGTAGGATCTTATCGTTGTTCAGTGCAATTGTTCTTAGGCTTTTTAAAATCTTGAAAATATCTGGTGTTGCCCTTTGCTACCTCCTGTACCTCCCCCCCCCCCCCCCCCGAATGGAAACACTTCTGGCAGGGTCGGTTCCACACACCATGGAGGCCTGATATCCCTTATTAACGCTAACCTTCTGCATCCCAGGTTACCGGTGGCCTCTGCCTAGCAAGCTCTGTGCGGTCTGGATTTACCTGGACGTACTCTTCTCCACGGCTTCCATCATGCACCTCTGTGCCATCTCACTAGACCGCTATGTTGCCATCCAGAACCCCATCCATCATAGCCGATTCAACTCCAGAACAAAGGCCTTTCTGAAAATAATTGCTGTTTGGACCATATCAGTGGGTAAGTGGGTACAGGATTTCAGGGGCTTATTTGAAATAACTGTTGATGACTTCCAAAGAGACTTGTTCTGTTTTGTTGCACGAAAACCTGACACCCTGACTCTATGGGGTTTTTGTTACTGTCCTCTCTAGGTTGTAATGTAGTAATTATCAGATTTGCTTTAGGAAGTATTAATGTCACTGGCTGACAATGTAAGTCTGCACAGTTAAGAACATATGTACCTACAGAGCCAAAATTAGAAATAACTGTGCCATAGCCCCTTCCAAATGCTTTTTCCCCCATCTCACACTTTCAAATTCACTACTCTAAATCTTGAGCTTCCCCAGAAACCCCCATTCAAGTTGATTTATCATCACTGGACTTGTTGCCAGTTTAAGACGGCAGATCCCCATGCTGGAGAATACACAGCTTCCGGAGGTTGGAGAAAGGTACCAGGTGCTGTCACTCAGAGGCAGAAGGTGAGGACAGAGGAAGGTGGCAGGACTAGCTCAGGGGCAAGGCATTTCCACCTGCCCAGTGCCTTGGTAACTCCTCCTCCTGTTAGGTCACCACACACCAGAAAGATTTCAACCCACTTCACTTGCTTTGATTACACATTCACCTCTCACCAGTATTGATCTCCTGTCACACACACTCAACAGGCAGGAAAGCCCAGGGAATGGGAGCCAAAGGGGCAGCTCCCAGGTAGTTAAGTCAATGGCACCTGTTACCTCAGCAGGCTTGGTTTGTAACCAAAAATTCCCTGGGATTTGTTTTAAGGTTACAAAGCTTTTCAGGCAAGAACACTGCACCTGCTTATGGCCACATAGGTTCCAGCATCTGCTAACATGAGAGAGACTGTGGGATTTGATGGGAGGCTTGATACCAAAACCTTCTGAGTCTTTGTAATAAAAATCCAAGTTAATAGCAAACGCAATAGGATATTTTGTGTTTTTCAGTTCCTATTGCTTGCCTTGCTGCTAAAGATGTCCTCTGCAGAGTAGGTAACTCCATTTTATGGATGAGCAAATTGGGGTTCAAGTGAAATGACCTGCACAATCCCACAGCTAGGAAATAGGACAGTGCCAATTTTATGATGGAAATGTTAAATTACATTTGCAGGATTTTCAAAGTTTTGAAGGGTCTTACCTAGTTTCCGTTTTAAACTCCCTAGTACAGGTTGAGGTGGATAGAAGAGCTTATTATGCTTATTTGATCAATTAGGGAACCAGAGCATAGAGAGGTTTTGCGGCTTGCTGGATCAGCTCTCCAACTAGTGACAGGGCTAGGACTCCAAACTTCTGGCACCAAGCCATGCGCTTACTGCTGCATGACCACTTTCTTTAGGAAACCATTTTTGCTCCCCCCCCCCCAAAAAAAATGCAGCTTGTGGTTTCTGGGCCCATGCAATCTTAGACTTTTATTGGGAGCAAGAGAATGAAGGACTAGTGGCTCTCCATCCCAGCTGCACCTAAGAACCCCTGTGGAGCACTGGGATTTAATTGGTCCATGGTAGGGTGACTAAGGTGCAACCAGGGTTGAGGACCACTTGAAACACATGTGATTAGCAAAGGTGGCCAATAAGTCAAACAAAGCAAACCATGCTATAGTCAGGTTTATTCTAGTTTTACCCTTGTACACAGTCCCATTGGTGAGACAGATGCTGGGAGCATAACCCATCTTTTATCTTCTGCCATACTGACAACCCCTTGCCCCATCCTAGTAAAGCTCAATAGCACTAGGCTATTTCTGGGCTGTTTCAGAGCAAAGACAACCAACCCACAGTGTTTAAAGCATCTTACAGAAAATAAACTGTAGATAAGTTGCACAGGATGACATCACTCCATTCAGCTATCACTCCAGGAGACAGGCAGGCTGGAATGGTTGTGGGGGTGCTAGGAAGAGTTATCAATTTGGCCATACTTACAACATAGCTACTATGTGTGTAGTAAATATATCTAAGATGAGTAAGATCTGTATTTGGAGGCCTCCAACAATGTGGTGGAGGAAGGCAAATAAGGAAACAAAAGAGCTGAGGTTACATAGGCTCTATATCACACGTCTGAGATATAAGGCTGAGGAGATGGCAGTTGGGAAAGGTGTAAAAAAAAAAAAAAAAAAAAAAGTTCTAACCAAGAGCCTGAAGGTGCTTATCACAAACATTCTGAATTTTCTGCTAGTGTTTCCACTTGTTTTACATTTACTTAGTCCAGATGGAATTTTGTGTATACAATCTAACAGGTTCTTCTATCAATGAATACAGCCTGAAAAGCATCTATTGATGTATCAATAAATTGATGAAAAATGATTTTTTCTTGATAGAAAAAATTTGAACTGCCCTTACATTCCTGAAATAAATTCATAAACGAAATTGGTTTTGGAGGACTTTGTTGGTTTTTCATTCTTACAAGGTTTTTTTTTCCTTTTTAGCTGTATTAAATAAATTTGGGGCATTACTGTTTTCTTCTTTGTGGTCTTCAAATATTTAAATAGGAATGTTCTTTAGAGATTACATAGAACTTAGTTCTAAAGTTCTCATCCTGGTACCTTTTTAAATGTTCTCTTAAATTACAACTCTAAACTTTCTTCAGTGGTTTTTTACAATTTCTACCTCGTCTTGGGTTATTAGCTATGTAGAAAGTTGAAATCATCTTTTATATCGATTCTTCGTTATTAAATGCAATTCTTCTTGCCTTTACATCTACTTCATCTGGTATTAGTATAGCTATGCCAGTTCCTTTGGTCATTTTCTGAATATATCTTATTCCGTCTTATTACTGTCACTTCTGATTTAATATTTAAAGTATCTTGCTCATAAGCAGTTTTTTTTAATCCAATCTATCTTTTAATTGGAATATTTACTCCATTTATATTTAATGGAGCCCATAGTATTGGGGTTTAAAATTACCCTGTTACTTATTTTTGTCCTATTTGTTCTATATTCTAGTTTCTACTCTTGCCTTCTTATGGCCTGATCAAGAATTCCTTGTTCCCCTTTATAAGCTTGTTATCCATTCTTTTAAATCCTTGATTTTTAACCTAATACAGTCTAACAAATTTTATCATTTCTGAGATAATGGAAGAACCTTGGAATATTTTAACTCCATTTATCCCTTTCATGTTTTTTCCTATTGTCTAATTTTAAGTATCCTTTTAAAACCCATAGGACCTAAGCATTCTACTATTTCCCACATATTGACCCTTTCTGTTGCCTTCCATTGCTTTTGTCATTTCCATGATTCTGCCTGTCATTTCCATGATTCATAGTCCTTACTTCTGAATTTTAGAGTAACCATGTAGTTTTCTTTCAGCTTTATTCTAAACCTTTTTGCCTTCATTTTAAACATATTTTTTTGCTCAATCTACAACTCAAGGTTTCAGGTTTTCTGGCCATTTAGAAGGGGCATTCCAAAGTTCTAGCTTATAGAATTTTGTTTGATAATGAGAACTCAGCTGTCAGACTTAGCAGTGTCCCTTAGAAACCACCATCTCTTGCCACCCTTTACTGCTTTAGGATTTTTTTTCTTTGTATCTTAGCAATTTTACCATGAATGTGCCTAGACGTCTGTTAGCTTTGGGTTTGTCCTGCATGGTGTTTATATTCATTCTTTCTTTTTTTTACTCAATGTCTTGTTCATTTAGCAACATTTTTGGCCATTATCTTTTCAAGTATTGCTCCTGCCACATTCTTTCTCCCCAACACATTTCTTGGACTCCAGTTTCACAGATGGTAGAAATGTTACCCATGGTTATGACTCAAATAACTTTTCTACGTTTTTCATCTTTAAGTCTTTAGTCCAGGTAGTTTTACTCCTTTTTCTTCTGGATTATTAATTCTCTCACCAGCTACTTCAAATTCGCTGCTCAACAGATGTGTTGTAGCCTTAATAGGTCACTGTATTTCTAGTTTTAAAATTCCCATTTTATTGTATTTAGTTCTGAAATAATTCTCCATATTTTCATGTTTTCTTAAAGGTTAATCAGATATCTGGACAGCTGATTACCTGGAATATTCTATTTTCTGGGGTCTTTTTCCCTTGGACTGATAGTGCGCCTGGTAATTTTTTTTTTTTATTCAATACCAGACACCATAAGGAAAAAAATACTGTTAATATTCTTGTTCAGAGAGGTGTTCCTTAGGTTTAGCAGGCAATTGCAATTAAATCCCCTTAATCCAGCCAGGGATTGAGCTTATTTTAGGCTGGCTTTTCATAAGCACTGCTTTTTAGTTTATCCTTATACCTAGGGTATATTCCTTCATTTTCTCAAAAGAAAGCCTGAGGTGTTCTCCATTTTGAAGAACTCCAAACTCCCATCCCCTCAGCACTACAAGACTGCTACTGACTCTTCAGGGACTCAGCCTCTCAGTCTATCCCTCTAACAAACTGGTAAATGACTAACTGGGAAAAGGGGCTCCACTAATACCTTCCTTCCCTTCACTCCAGAATCTCAATTCCTGAAATCCTGGCTACCTTGGTAGCCCTAACTTCAATTTTTTCTCTAACCCCTGAGACAAGGTTTTGGGCCTTGAGTTCCACCTTATTTGAAATTAGTATTACCATACCTCTTATTTGAAATTCCCCCTTGCATCTTTTCTCATCTCTCCATTTTTGTCATGTCTTTGTTCCTTTCATATTTTTAAGATTTTTTATTTGAGAAAGAGCATGAGAGAGAGAGCACAAGTTGGGTGGGAGAGAGGCGGGGGGAGAAGCAGACTCCCCACTGAGAAGGGAGCCCAATGTGGGGCTCGATCCCAGGATCATGACCTGAGCCAGTGGTAGACACTTAACGGACAGCCACCCAGGCACCCCCTATATTTTCACATTTTTAAAAACACCATTTTCCTACCTCTGCCTTTTGATAAATTCATCCTGTCTATATTACTATCACAATTAACAAAAAATTTTATTCTTCCCATCTATTTCATATTTTCTTTATAACAGTTCATTTACCTTATTTCATGCATTTACTGACTTGTACAAGGTCATTTTTTCCTTAACCCCATCCCAATCAGTTTGAAT